TAAAGTAAAAAAAAAAGGATTGTTTTAGAGATATGTCTAGGTGTAAAATTGATGAAACTTGGAAAAAGTATAAGAAATCTAAGAACGAGATCAAGAATGTGGTAAGTGAAGCAGGAATCCAAACTTTTGACGAACTATACCAATCTGTAGGAATCGAGGAGGAAGAAAAATCTATACATATTCTTGCTAAGGGAGGAGAAAGAAAGACATAAGATTTGAATCAAGTGAAATGTGTTAAAGACGAAGAAAACAATTCTTGCTTCATTCAAAAGATATAAAGGATATATGAAAAATATATTTCTACAATTTATTTAATAAAGAATATGATATCTCACCAGACTCTAACAAGCTCGACATTAGAGAATAGGATCAAACTATGATTACTATTGTCAGATTTAGAAACAATAGGTAAAAGAAACGTTGAAAAGAATGAGTAATAGTTAGATGTTGGGCTAGACAACATAACTATTAAAATATGGAAAATTCTTAGAGATAAAAGAATTGAGTAACTTACCAAACTCTTAAACAAATTTATGAGGTCAAACAAATGTCAGATAATATGGAGAAAAATAACTTTTCCAATATATAAGAATAACATGGATATACAAAATTAATAAAATTATAGGAGGATTAAACTTATGAGTTATACCTTGAACTTATGGGAAATAATGATTAAATGAAGATTAAGAAATGAAACTCAAGTAAGTGAGAATTAATTTGGTTTTATGTCTGCGAAGTCGACCGTGGAGTCTCCACTGAATGAGGTTTTGTTTACAATAACTATAAACCATATCAAAACATGTTTGAAGACTGTCCTGAAAATCACAAGGGTGAATGCTATTGTAAATTAGATTCTTCCATTAGGAAGACAATGATCTCCTTACCAACTTTTAAACCCTTCAAATTTAAAGATTATCCTTTAACATTAACCAATTTTCTTAAACATGGACTAGTAAGTATAATTAATGTTCCACCATTATATGACTTCACTCCATATTTACCAGTATTCTTAGCTGATACATTAGAAAGCATAATTCCAGAATTTCCACAAAATGCAAAACTGGAAATTACATCATTATATCCAGATTTTCATAATAATTGTCCAAATTATCATTTAACTTGGTTATATTTCAAGAATATGGATATTGAATTTGAAGAATTCCAAGTGCAAAATTCGGGTCCAAAGACCTTACACTTAGAAGATCTCCCAGAACAAGTAGAAATTTCCAGAGTCAAAATAATTTCGAAAGACTTTGGCTGGCCAAATACAAAATAGATGAAAAAAAATCTCCTAAGAGAAGACAATACAGAGAAAAATTATTGTAACTCAAATATTACAAAAAAATATTTTTCCCTTTTGAAGTCAAACGTTCAAGGCCAAAATTGGTAGAGGCATATAGGAGAAGAAATATGTCTTGGGAAAAAAATTAGGATCACCAGAATCTTCACAAGATAATCTATTAATTATGTAAATTGCAAAAAATATACGTCACTAATGATGTAAAATTAAAGAAATTATTGCCGACAAGAAAAAGGCTGAAAAAGACAAGCATTAAAGGAATGGTTACTTGACCCTTCTAAGATATGTAAGGGTAATCATGACTCACAAAGCTATGAAAGGGGACCTGTCCCTTTCAACTTTTTATCATCTACATTATTGTTAAGCAAAAGTTAGGTAAAGTTTGTTGTTTTTAGTGCTTTAGATAAGGTTAGAAAATAGTGCTTTATCCTTTCGTAATGTAAAGACAATAATGTATTATTTCTAGAGACTTCCCCTTCACCTATAAAAGGAAGTTCTCATCATGTTTGTAGATATACGCAATCAAAATATGCAATCAATAAAAATGATTTTCAATACACCTTACTATAAATTTCCACTTCACATTAAATTCCTTATTCCAACTTCCTTATTGCTTCTAAGAGGTATGATTTTTTAGTAGTTTAATCTTAATAATCTATGTGTATGTTTATGATTATTGTTAATCTATGTTTAACCCACAATCAAAAGACGTAATCCTGCTTGAATTGAATGTGATCATTAATCTAAGAAAGAATCCGTTAGGGAAGTAAGTACCATGAGGGGAAAATAGTACCGCTAGGAGGAGATTCTTAGATCTTAGGTCATAAAGAACTTTGTAGTAGTGAGCGATGAAAAAGTGAGGTTCTAGCTTAAACATGGACTATTCAATAATCATAAAAATAAGCTAAAATTATTAAGATAAAGAAACTAAGAAATCATAATACTCGAAGAAACCAACAATAGGAAGGAGGAATAAGATTTCAAATAAAATCTTTTCACAAAACATATTGTTGAATAATTTTATTATGAAACCAAACAAAGAAAATTAAAATTTTACAAGTCAGAGGTATTTTTCAAATTATTTTGGAATTGATTATTCAGAATCTAATTCAGACAAAAAATTATCAAAATTAATTTTTATCCAAAATTTTGATACAAATATAACTTATTTACTGCAAAGATTTTCTTATCCGGATTTAATCAAAATTATATTGAAAAAATTAAAATGATCTCATTTTCAAGAAAAAATAATTTTAGAAGATTTACAGACAATATTAAAAAAAGATATAAAAGAACATGAATTAAGGTGTCTAATTAATGAATTAAACACTTTTACCTATAATTCTCATTACTTAGATAGTTTTAAAGAACATTTTTATGGAAATCATTCTCAAGTTCATTATAGAATGAGAAATCACCAAAAAATTGACCATAGATGTATTATAAATTTTTGAAATTTTGGTAATACACAAACAAATTCAGACAATGATATAAATTTCGACGATGATGGTTATGAAACAAATTAAAAATATTTTTCATTAAAATAAATACTTTCTTGCAAATAACTCTGACAATATAGACTTATCCAAAGAAAGAACTAATTTAAAAGATATAGAAGAATTATTTCATATTTAGAAAATGAATTAGAATTCATTAATTTACATATTAAAAATAGTAATAAGACTACATATCCTTCTTTCTTGAAATTACAAAAAGGCTTAACTCTTCAACAAATCTCTACATTTTACATCATGATTGTTATCATAAAAGATGACTTATCTACTTTATCAAGGGCTTAAATTTTTCCCCTATATTATTAACACATTCATTATTGCACCTATACAATTTATCATTATTGTTACTTATTATTATATCTACTTACTTCATTTATTATACACTATTACACTTTAACTTATATATTTAAATATTGCACTACAAATACTTATGATATCTACTTAACTCATTTACTATAAACTTTTATTACAATCTCTTTCAACTATTTCACTATTATTTTAGTAATAAATATGATCGATAATTTTATATCCTTAATGATTTATTATGAATTTGTAATTGAACCTATGATATCAATTAATCACAAATAAAAGTATATTTTACTTGAAATAAAAAATATATCCTTCTAAGTTGAATGATATCTAAAATATAATTTTTTAAAATTATATAATTAAAAAAAGATATCTCTTATTGTTTATTTATTTATTTTTAATTTTATTTCTCGTGTCATTTTGTTACTTATATCTTTTTTAATTTTTAACTTTAACATTGATGATATATTTTTATTTTTAATCTAAATAATGTTTAAATTTATTTGTTATTATTATCAAATAAATTTTTTAAAAGATTTTAAACTTATGTCTATATTGTTAAACATTAATTATATGATGAATAAAAATGTTTCTACTGCTAGTGAATTTACTAACTTATGTTTTTTTTTAAAGAGAATTATTTCAATTAGTTGAAAAATATATAAAAATATACAACCATAGGCATAACATAGTTTATGTGATTTTGTTATTGATATTAGTTGAAAAATGAGAGTTATTTAAAAAATATTATCTTTGCTTTTTATTATACTCACTATGATTAAAAAAAATGAACAAACTATAAAAATTGTGTTGTTTGTATTTAGTTTATTTGTCCAATATGATATGAATAATGTAAAATAAAATGAATCTTAAATTATTTTAAAGAAACTATATATTAAAATGATACATCAAAATTTTTTCTGTTTTTTTTTTTAGAATGTAAGCTTCTGATTTAATATATTTTAATAAATGTTTAATAAATTCTAAGAAAATTATATATATCAAAGTTAGCAAGTACATAGGTTAATATAATTTCTATGTTATTTTTCTAAAAAATAATATTGTAAAATTTTTTATGTGATTTTATTGTTGATAGTAATTGAAATATAAGAGTTCTTATTTTAGGTATTATTATCTCTGATTTTTATTATTACTTTTTTATGGTCACTGTAAGAAAAAAATTAGGCAAACCATAAATCACATTTAGCAAACTCTGTATTCTTATCTGAGAAAATTTTTAAATATTATTATTTGTCTTTAATTTATTCTTCTAACCTGATATGAAGAATATATAATAGAAATAATTTAAAATTATTTTAGAGACAATATATTAAAAATATATATCAAAATTTATTTTCTATAATTAAAAATAATTGAAAGAAAAATAGAAATAATGTTCTATAATTATTATAAAAATAATATATATCAAAGTCTATAATAAATTGTTAAATTAATATATTTTTTGTATTTATCAAGAATCCAACTTCTGACTATTATATTATATGATTTTACATTTTAAGAAGTGAATTAAATTTTGATAGTAAATACCACATAAAAATATAAATGATGTGACATAAATGATGTTGAATTATTTACATTAGAGCACACACTTCTGATTTAATATATATATATATATATATATATATATATATATATATATATATATATATATATATATATATCTATAACTTTCTTTAAAACATAAAAACCTAATAAGAAATAGACTGATTATTGCTTTATCTGTACAGTTCCACATTACATTACTCTAACTGGCATTCATGGATGTTGACCTAAACAGAATAAAAGAGAAAGGATAGCATACAAAGAACTTCCTCATTCAAATGAAAATATTGATTATTCTCCTGGTAGTCAAAATTCTATGGGTTTGACTTAGCTTTGATTTGCCCTCTTTTGGAAGAAGTGTCCTCCCTTTGGTAGTGGTTATCAAAATAGGACTTGAAGAAATGCCAAAGAATTAAAACATTCAAAAAGGAATTAAAAACCCATGCTCCAATTCCATTACACCCTCCTCTTGAATAATGCAACAAAACTACTCCAACATGGCACGCCAAATTGCAACCAAACAACATCATGTGTAAATTCCCCGCATAATGAAATGTTTTACTAGGTAGCCCTATTTGTATCCAAAATCTGTACCCATAAACCACAAAACAAACCAACGTCGAGAACAATATAGTTAACACTTGAAGAGATTGTGAAAACTCAAGCCATAAAAAAGACATAATGAGAATAATGGAGTTGTTAAATAATCTAAAAAATGATAATTTTCTCTCACTCAAAACTATAAACAATGTTCTCAACATATGAAGATAACGAGATAAGTAAAACGCGTAAGACCAAAAGAAGACACGACCCGAGGAACGAATACCTAAAGGAAAACAAAGTAACCACTCGAAGGGTGTGGTTCGGGTTCGTTGCCATAGCCAACGAGTGTCCCGAACCTCAGCTTCAGCCGAGAAAAACATGCCAAAAAATATAGTTATCGAGATTAATGACATTAAGAGACTATGAATGACTGGAAGTGGACCTAAGGGCACGTGACACCTTATGCGACATAGTTTAAGGATGACATGGATGGTTATCGGGATGGTGATGTAAAAAAAGATAGCAGAAATGAGAAACCACCACGTACCACCCCACGAATGAGTCGGACTCCACCGGAAAGATACAATTGATGGGTGATCTAGTAACCAATATTTCAGCTTTTCTTTTGTAAATTCTAACATTGAAAGTGTTTGTGACTTTGTGTAAATTTCTTGCATTGTGTTGTATTGTAAGAAGAAAAATGGAAGTTGCTAAGATGATTATATAAGAGTGGAATTTGGATCATAAATTGGACCATCAAAGTTGAATCTCAATAAAGATTTGTTTGTGTCGTATGGCATGACTCTTATTATATTTAAATTTATTGGGTGTAATTTTTAATGCGTTTGAATGTTCTTTAGGATCATTTCTAGAAGGACATTATGATAAAAATGCAAGCAGACATTTGACAAACTTGTTCAAACTCAAAGCGTTCAAGTTACGGTTTTATTTTTATAAATTTGGTCACCATCACATTGATAAGGCGATGAAGTTATATTTCAAAGGAATGTGTTGCGGATTTCAAACCCCGAGTCTAATGTTGACTTTTATGCTTCAGAAAAACAATTCTAAGAAATTTTACATTTATTTATTCCTAAACAATGCACTCCTGTAGTCCTTACCATTCCAAGTAAATGATTAAATTTTAAAAAAGCTGTCCTAGAATGACAAAAACAATGTATTTCTCTAGTTCATACCACTTTAAATAAAACTTGACTATAAATATTTTAAAAATAGTATCACTATGGTTAATTAAGTCTCACAATTAATTCATTCTTAATATTTCATCGAACATATTAACTATACTAAAAAATTTATTATTTTAGAAAAATAAATATTAAAAAGTCTTATTATTCTTAATAGATAATTCAATATAAATATTAAATTTTATTAAATCATTAGTCTCTAAGATTTTCACTAACAATCTCTCTCTAGCAATAAAGTCAATCAGACATACACCTAATATCTATAGATTTAGTATGATCCTCATGCTTCTTTTATTTCAAGAGAATTTATTAGTGGATCAACATCATTGTTAAGTGTAGGTACTCTGCATATCTTCACATCTCCCCTATCTATTATCTCTTGAATAATGTGATAACGTCTAAGTATGTGTTTGGATCATTGGTGAGATCTATGTCTCTTAACTTGTGTGGTGGCACCATTGTTATTCCAATAGAGTTCAATGGGATCCACAATGCTAAGTACTATGTCAAGTTTACTAATGAACTTCTTTATTCAAACAACTTCTTTTGTTGCATTTGAGGCAACAATATACCCATACTTGGTTGTAAAATCAACAATTGTATCCTACTTTGAACTTTTCTGGGTCGAGCTCACAGCGTCACCATTTAAGCAAAACACATAACCAGACTATGATATATAATCATATTTATCTTTCTACAAGCTAGCAACGATGTATTATATTAAAACAAACTTTTCCTGACCCCCATATATCATGAATGAGTCTTTAATCCTTCTTAAGTGCTTAAGGATATTTTTGACAATAATCTCATGAATATCACCATGATCAAACTAGTGCCTACTTGCTGCTCTTAAAGCATAAGAGACATCTAATTGAGTACATAACACGACATACATGAAAGATCCTATTGCAGATGCATATGAGATCTTATTCATGTGATCTCTTTCTTCCATTAATGAAAGGGATTGTGTTTTTTAAAGACATAAGTCATGTTGCATAAGTTTGAATTCTTTATTGGAATCATGCATAATAAATCATCTCAACACTTTCTTTATGTATGTACTCTAACTTAGGCCAAGTATTTTTCGTGATCTATGTTTATAGATCTTGATTTCTAATATATAGGTTGCTTCACCCAAGACCTTCAGAGAAAAGCATTTCCCTAGCATGCTTTCACTTGCTGCAAGATAGAGATACTGTTTCCAACGACTAATATGTCATCAACATATAATATTGAAAAGATAAACACGATCCCACTAATTTTCTTGTAGGCAAAAGGCTGATATTGGTTTTTAATAAACCGATATCATTTTACAATTTCATAAAAAAGAAGATTCCTTCTTCTATAATCTTGCCTCAATCCCCTGGATTGATCGTTGTAACTTGCATATATTTTCGGCTTTTTCCGATATGTCAAATCCTTCAACTAGCATCGTGTAGAAATCCTCAAGGTGATTCTATTTAAGAAAAGAAGTCTTAATATCCATTTGTAATATTTCATAATCATGATATACAGTGACAATAAGTAAAATTCGAACATATTTGAGCATTGCAACTAGTGAAAGGTTTAATCATAGTCAACATTATGAATTTACTTATAGCCCAAAGCAACCACTCATGCCTTATAGGTATGTACCTTATCATCCACGTCACTCTTATTTTTGAAGAACCACTTACATCATCTGTGATTAACTCCTACAAGAGGCTCTACCAAAGTCCAAACCTGATTTACGTAAATGGAATACATTTATATTTCATGGCCTCTAGCCACTTCTCAGACTCAAGACTCGTGATGGCCTCTTGGTAGGTCACATGATCATCTTGATCCACGAGTAATAGATCACCTTGATCAGTTATGAGATATCTATAAAGTCATGCTTCATCAAGTTTATATTTTGATGATTACAAACATCATGATCAAGGCAAAAGGTATTATCAAAAGGAAGAAGAAAAAAAATCTACTCAAAATGGACTATTGACTTGCATTCTAAGTTACTCCTAAAGAATACTTTGGTATTTGATCTTCATTATGGTACAAGACTCCAATTCAATTTAGTATGTTACTATAGTGCTCATAATATGTCTAATATTATGCATACATGTTTCATGGATTTTAATATAACTAACATTTCATTTCCAAGCCATTAAAAAGGTTATTTCACTTTTTCATACGCAGTAACCGGTTACAGGTTTCTGGTAACCCGCTACATGCTTCAGCATTTCAAAAATATAATGTTACCTGCATGGGTAACCAGTTACTGCATTCTGGTAACCAGTTACCGCTAAAATGAATTTGAAAAATAAGACTGTTTTAAATGTTGTTTTTTTGTTACATTTGTCCATGAACCATTTCACTTCTACATTCATTTAGAACCTTTTGAAAGGGTGCAATACATGTATATATTCAAATATTTCTGAAGTAGAAACACAAGAAAAAAAATAACAACAATCACCACATACAATTCAATATTTTATTTCTCATTTTCAAACAAGTGCATGAATTAATATTTTGCATGAAACTTTTACTCTTACATTTTTCAAATACATCATTAGAAAAGTTTCATCATATGTATTAAGCACTGTGTAATATATTCATTGAATTGTTGTCTTGAAAGAGAAGAGATCAATATTTTGTATTGACATTGATTATCAACTTTTATATCTACTTCAAGAATTTGTTTCTAATCATTTCTTCAAAGTGATTGTGGTATAACCTTGTTTTCCAGGATTGTTGGAAGCAATAGAGTATTAAGGGAGGATTGTTATCTTTCTATTTTGTATTGGTTACCTTGTTTTCAAAATTGTTAGAAACAAGTGTGTACATTGAAGAGGATTGTTCTTCATGTACTTGGTTGGATCTTAAAGGATAGTTAAAACCTTTGATCTCCCTATAGGTTAGATAATGAGCATCATAATTGGTGTGAATAGGCTTTACAATTATTCTAACTATAGTGGATCTCTTACATGTTGGTAAGAGGACTGGAGTACTCTCAAAGTGTGAGGGGAACTAAGATATTTTGTTATTTACTTTTCCGCATTTATCGCTTTCATCACAAATCATAACAAGAAAAGAAAAGAATCATGTTTCTAAACTCCTTCACCAAACTAGAAAAATAAGAACAAGTATTCTAAATACCAGATAAATTTTCAAAGTCCTAATTCACCTCTCGCTTAGATGCACTCAAAAACCAACATTTGATATCAGAGCAAGTTAAGGTAACTTGTTCCTATTCGATCCAAAATGGCTTCTGCACAACCAACTTTCAAAGATGGTGGTAGTAATAACAAGCCTCCATTGTTTTATGATGAATACTTTGAATTTTAGAAAATTCACATAAAGATGGAGTGCCCAAATTTGTCCAAGAAATATGCTTACAAGGGAAGAAAATTATCAAAATCCAACAAGATTTATATTGAAGAAAGTGATACAAGTTCTTCATCCGATTCCGAAAATGACAAATATGGAAATCTTGCTTTTATGGCATTACATTATTCTGATGGTGAAGATGATGAAAAGGTTAGAAATTTTTATCCTAAGAAAATAGTTTCTAAAAATAAAAATTATGTTACAAGCAACTTTCTTCCTACTTTTTTATATTATGGTATTATTGGTCACACATATAATGCTTGTCATGCAAGAAATTTTAATGCTATTAGTGAGAATTATGTATGGGTGAAGAAAAGAACTAACCATGAAGGACCCAAATCACTTTAGATACCTAGCAAAACTTAACTTGTTTTGTAGGTTTGCTTGAAGACCACTTCAAAATCTTTGATATCTTAATAAGTGGTTGATTCAAGCATATGATGGGAGGTATAAGAAAATTTTCAAATCTATAGGTCAAGGGATGTGACACATATAAGGACAACATCAAATGAAAAATTATTGGCAAGGAAAAGATAAGCACTAACTTTTATATCCAATGAAGAAGTACTTCATAATGAAGGATTAAGACAAAGTTTTCTAAAGAATAAGTCAACTAATATCATGTTATTCTTCTATTTTGATTATGATATTATTTTGTTTCTTTTTCCTTCCTTTTTGATAATGATAAAGGGGGAGAAGATATATGTGTATGCTTTGTCTCTATCTCTTACAGAAATTGTCATCATACTCTATTGATCAAGGAGAAGCATTGATCAAAGGGGGGTTATCATTAATAGGGGGAGTATGTTGCATTTTCAAGCGATCCAAAGTGTTTCATATAACAAGTGTTTGTCATTATCAAAAAGAGGGAGAATGTAAAGTCATGCTTCACAAAGTTTATAATTTGATGATTAGAAATATCATGATCAAGGTAAAAGGAACTATAAAAAAGAAGAAGAAAAAGTATTTACTCAAAATGGACTTTTGGCATGCATTCTAAGTTACTCCTAAAGAATACTTTGGTATTTGATCTTCATTATAGTACAAGACTCAAATTCAATTTATTATGTTACTATAGTGCTCAAAATATGTCTAACATTATGCAT